TACAGAGTAGCTTACCACTTGCGCAGAGCACATAAGCGCTTGCTTTTCCTCATAAATTACCATAACCATCCGTCTTATTCTTATGCTCCCTTCCTAACCTCACTTCTGTGCATACTTACACATTTTTATGCGTTTTTTGCAGCAATGCAATGTGTATGTGTGTGTGTCTGTGTGTGTGTTTGTGTGCGTGTGTGTGTTTGTGTGCCTCTGTACCGATTTCTCATCTCGAGAGTGGCAGAAGCTACGGGGCTGAAACTTTGGGGACTTAATCTACATCCACGTACAGGCCTCTATCCCCAAAATGGGCGGTCCTTCCCGCGTGGTACCCACGTAAAACCCCGCCAAACTTTTTTACGAGTAAGCTGCTAATTGGCGAACCAGAAAAGCTAGAGAGCTGAAATTTTATGGGAATGTTCCTCGCCCAAGCGGCTATTAGTGGGCTCAAATCCAGCCCCCGGGCAAGCGTGGTACCCGCGTACGGGCCCCCCAAAATTTTTCCCGCGTAAATTCATAACTCGGGGTTATGAGATGCTAGAGAGCTGAAATTTTATGGGAACGTTCCCCGTCCAAGTAGGTACTAGTGAACTCAAATCCAGCCCCCGGGCAATCGTGGTACCCGCGTACGGCCCCCCCCCCAAAATTTTTCCCACGCAAATTCATAACTCGGGGCTCTGAGATGCTAGAAAGCTGAAATTTTAGGGTAATGTTCCCCGCCCAAGCAGGTGCTAATGAGCTCAAATCCAGCCTCCGGATGAGCGTGGTACCCGCGTATGGGCCCCCAAAATTTTTCCCGCGTAAATTCACAATTCGGGGTTCTGAGAAGTTAGAGAGCTGAAATCTTAGGGGATTGTTGCCTGTCTAAGTGAGTATTAACGAGCTCAAACCCTGCCCGCGGGTAAGCGTGGTACCTACGTACAGGCCCGTGAAAAGTTCCTTCCGGGTAAGTTGACCCTGCCCGCGGGTAAGCGTGGTACCTACGTGCAGGCCCGTGAAAAGTTCCTTCCGGGTAAGTTACTTACTCGAGAAAGTGAGGAGTTAGAAGATTGGGATTTGAAGGGATGTTTCCTGACAGTCCTGGTGGCCAGTCTGAAATTCTTTCAGATAGAAGCATCTGCCGATAAAACCGATGCCGGTAGCGACAAAAACTGCGGGGAACTCTGCAAAAAAGGCATCTTCGCAGGGGGAGCCCGTGCGTTGGCCATTTGTTGCATAATTGATGCAATGCAAAAACGCGTATTGCTGAAAGGTTGTGTGTATGTTTGAATTTTGTCACCCGTTCTGAACTTAGCAACCGTGAAGTTCTGGCGAGGAAACAAACCGGGAAGCTGAAGTTTTGAGGGGATGTCCCTGTTCGCGTGCAATTTAAAGATTTCAAATTTGTTCCCTAAGCGCGCTTAGTTTTCACGTACGAGTGCGTAAATGTTTTGTTGGAAGAACTGCTAACTCGGGAACCAGAAAAGCCGGAAGCTGAAATTTTAAGGAAGTGTTTCTTGTCCACATATAACTTATAGACTTCAAACTCAGCTCTTAGGGATGTGTGGTTCTCGCTTATGGGCACTCAAGAGTTTGGTGGGAAAATGACAGACTTGAGGACCCGAACAACCAGTCCATTTTCAATAAACGACTGCTGAACGGAAGTTATTCACTTTTCTTTACACAGAGTTTACATTAATTTACGGTAATGAGTACACGAGTTAAATATAAAGCAGTAACCATTCTGTAAAATATGCTGTGAATATTATAAAATTATATAATATTTTTTTTCCCCTCTTTTCCCCCTTTTTTTCTATGATTCAGTGTTACAATTTGCATTCCTGCGTGTTTACAGTTTTCTACATTTTCCTCTTTCCTTTTTTTTACACCCGTAGAAACCTAATTGTACATTCGTCCCCTTTATCCCATTTTGCTCCTATTTTGGAATGCGCTTGCATTCCCAGCCGTTTTACTTCCTTATTTTTCTCTTCATTCCCTCTTTTTAACCCCGTTAAAAACCCTTATTTCCATTTTCCCTTTTCACATTTCAATTTACCTCAATTATCATTTTCGACCCCTCCAAAAACTATCACATTCTCTTTTGGGACGGTTCCTACACCCTTTTTAAGCCTCTCCACCATTCTTCGTGGTCTCAGTTCACTCCTTCTCCGGAATGACGGCCCTCAGTCTCCTCGACGGACTCTTCAAGGACTGGACCTCGTCTAATATACTCCTGGCCCTCATCAACCATGCTCTGTTATAACGACTCTTGCTCGGCAAGCTCACATACTCGATAGATTCTAAGCGCCACACTTCGTGCTGTCTATTTGCTGTTTGCACGATTTATTATCAGTAATTCATAAACTTGATTTTGCTTCTCTACAGTGCGTGTACGCCCACAGCACCACGCCACACAGCGATCCACACACGTAAACACTTATAAAAATTTTTACTATTCATATAGTTGAAAATTTGACTGCTTCAAATTTAGGGCAAAAGCGCATGGACGCACCGAAAGGCCTGGTGCGTACCAGCCTGGTTTTAAATTTTGGGCCGGTAATATATAAACATATCTGAAGATCATGAACATGAAATATAAAATCGCTTCCGGTACCTGTTAGTCATTTTTCCACCTCCGCCATTATCCCTCGAAAGGACCTGAAGCTGTTTTTGAGAAGACGCTCCCGCTCGATGACTGAAATGGATGTTGATAGAAAAATGTGTAGACGGTACGACAAATCATACTGCCATGTGAAGGAATGGGTGGGAGGCGGCTGCTCGAACAGCAAATATGAGACAGGTTGGAAAAAAAAAACAACGGGACCGACTGTTTTCGTCTCGGCAGCGGGAGTAGATTTGACTTAAACTTCTCAACGACACAATCGCAGTCCGACTCTGGACAAGTAAGCGTTCATCATCAACGGAGGACAAGTGTATTCAAACAAGTATCCGGGTGACCAAATAAGCAGTGAGGAAGCAGCTTCTGCAGCGACAGATGAATGCTCTCAATCGCAACGTACGACAAACAGAACTCAACGGCTCCAGCCATCTAACGCTGGTCGTGCTATTACTTTTCCTTGTACCGTACGCAATCTCAGGTCGTCTATTCTCTTGAGTTGCTGGCGCTCAAGCATAGCACTCGTCTAAGGCTCACAAAGTACCATCGATTTCGCAGCTTCGCTTTTGCGCCAATCAGAACGTCTTCCACCACCGTGATCATTTTGCCCACAACCCCATTATATCATAAAACTTTTAATCATGCAACTGCTCCAATTTTATTGCTGACTGCTACGCTTCACCGGGTTTCGTAAAAAACCTTACAAATTCTTTATCACAAAATATGTTACAGGAATACAAAAAAAAAATGCCATACATGTAATTCATACATACACAATAAAGCCATACAGTGAATAACACAATAAAAAACAACAATATCCAATGAAACACATAACAAATTTATACATAAATTACAATTTCTATATTTTCCATTCATCTGCTTCTATCGGCGTTGGCGTCACGAGTATTATCTATAACACTCGCCTCGGCGCTATCCGCAAAGGCCGTCCACTTCAGTTTCCGCTCATTAGCAAAAGCGTCCGCGCAGCGATCGTTTCAGCATTCGCCCTTCTCCGCCTTGGCGTCACCACTGTGACGTTCAAAACCTACTGGAAATCTGTCCTTTAGTAATTAGAAAAAGAAGAACATATTAATGAAAACAGTGACGAAACAGTACAAAAGATTTTGTAGGAAAATTTCACGAAGAGAGAGGCAAAAGGCCATAATTTAAAGTTCCTATACGTTAATTTAATATAAAAACTACAACTGTAAAACTGGAAAGGGACATTTATACAAATCTGTTAGTCGCATTCACGGCTCATTTGCTTTGTTCATCCTAGAAATCCCAAGCCTGGCACTAAACAGTGCCGATGAACGGCCAGGTGTGACCTCCTTGTCTGTTAGTAACAGGTACGCCGTAAAAAAAAATGCGCCAGATCCTGCCCATGTAAGCTTTGATATTAAAGCTCTCCAAGATGTCTTAGCAATATATCGCTAGCACTCTCCAGTACTTACCAGTCAGATGACATAAATCAGCTAGTCCCTCATCAGCCACTCTCCCTGCGCTTTGAAGAACCTGACAAAACTTCCCAGGAGCAGTGTCGCAAAAATAAGTTGTTCCCAGTCTTATTTTTGCGACACTGCTCTCAGGAAGTCTCGTTCTGAATGCTTACAGAACGAATACACTTACTAGTGCTCTCTTCCTGATTGCATGATTTTCTTTATTCGGGCCATAATCCTGCCAGCCAAACTGCATTGCCCGTCGCGAAGATGTGCTGCTTTCGCGCTTGCATCCACGCAAGTAGCTCGTGGCACCGCTCTTGCCTCCTTGGTTCTTCCATGGCAGTGCAACTAATGCCGGCCGGCTTACCCAGGCACCCTGCAGGCAAACGGAAACATTACGGGTTATTGGGGAGAACGGAAAACGTTGAGTGGCAAGTATCGGTTGGGAAGCATACCGCTGATTAGTGGGCGAAAAAGGGATTCACCGATTTTACTATTTCAACAGGGCGAGCAAGACAATCCGACAGTTTACCAACGATTTAACCCAGGTCGGAACACACTAGGGCTGGCGGTGCGATTATGCGCCTTTGCACTAAACTTGAAGCAATAAGGTCGTTAATTTTATGAGTGGTTGTTGCTTTACATTTAGCTTCTGCATTCATTAGCGTAAACCATCGTAAATTTTGCCTCACAGGAAAATGAACAATTCCCGTTAAACGGTCGTTCACTGAAAATGACCTAGCTGTTCAGTGAGCAGTGCTCTCACCAAAAACTTCTGCGTGTTCGTTCGTGAAAAACACGCATGCCTGGGGGTTAAATTTGTCTAGGTTATGTTTACACAGAAAACATTTTCACAAAATTTCAGCATTCCAGCTTCTATGGTTTTCGAGTTAGCAATTCCCCTCCCAAAACTTTCAACGAAGGGCGCGCATTACAGCAAATCTGAATTCTCCTAACGACTGTTCAAACTGCTTTGGTAATATACCCCTAGTATTCTCCAGTACTGACCCTACGCACAACATGAATCAGCTAGTCGCTGTCCGCCCATCCAGCTCTACCCATACCCTTTGAAGAATCTGGGAGAAATTTCCAATAACATTACCATA